CCCCCCCCCCCCCCCCCCCCCCCCAATGTACATATCATGTTTGTCTATCAAAGTGGTAGCAATGTTGATAAACACTTTCTAATAAAGCCAAGGTTGATGTATGAATAGTTTGATTGAAAGACCTGTGAGAAAAATAATTAACACCCCCATGTGTGCATTTACTCTGCTTCTGCCTATAGGGTGTCTTATTTATTCACAGTGTTATGTATTCAGCACTGTGACATGAGCCACCGCCATCTAATGCATTTATAAATGACAGTGAAAAGAGAAAAAAAAATGTACGTGACTTGAAACCGATATGAGTCAAATGTGAACTTATAAATTATAAATGTCTAGAACTCCATTACCAAAAATGGAAACTTGTGCTGAAGTGCAGTGATGGAACAGATACAGGCTGCCTACAATTCTTGGGGTATTGCGTGAAGAAGCAGAAATGTAAATTACATTAATGATGATAATCATGATGCTTACTGTATGTTGCATAACATTGTACATGAACTACAGACTACAGTCATGCAACAAACATCCTGTGTATTATCTTCTAAATTCGAGAATTAACAATAAAGTATTTTAGATTATATAAATTATAATATAATATAAAATATTCCCTCAAAATGAATGAGTATAGTATTATGATACTGAACATTTAAGGATACTGTAAACTGTTACAGATGATGAGCTAAACATCATAATCACTCCAGATATGATAAAACAGCCCCACTAAAAGTGTCTTTATTTTAAATTGTAAAGTATTCTGTAATAGGCCACAGATATAACATACACAGTATAGTACCTTAGTAGTAATATTTCATTGGGGGAACTAATTTCATAGTTGACTTGTTTCATGCTATCATGAAATGCCATCAGCTCAGACTGCTACTGCAAATACAACAGGGTTGGTTGAGGGACAGTGTCAGACATGATTCGAAACAAATCTCCAACACACCTTTTTGCAATTTGCAAGGATATTATATGCAAATATGGATTTTTTTTTTGTTATGCATTGTTGAGGCATATTTGCAAAATTAAGATTACATTTTCTTTTGTACAGTACAGGGTCTGTGTAGCAGGATTTAGGTGGCAAAAGCAAGGTAAAGCTGGTAGTTAATCAGTGATGTATTACACATGAGACCAATCTAATTTAATCATTTACAAATGTACTATAAGACTCTTTGAAGAATGTTTCCTGAAATGTCACTAAGGGTGAAAAATCTGCTTAATACTTTAATTAGATCACTCATATAAATCCTTACTTTTACTGAGGGTGCAACATCTGTTGGCAACTAGCAGCCTCAAGCAGTGTCTCTCTCTTACTGCAGCTTTGAGTCAGGGGGCTGATTCATTCAAAATGTTGTCTTGAGCTTTGCTGTCCTCATCTCATATCTCTTCTCTACAGTTGGAGATAACTATTCGTTTCATCTTCATCAAAATATTACAGTTGTTATCTGGTAGTTTTTCATTTCCTATGATTTAGTTTTTTGTAATTTAATTCAGGGATTATAGCATATTATATCAGTGCGGTATACCAATTTCATGCAATTCTTAGATTATAATCAATTTTGATTTTGAGTTTTTTTTTATAACGATCTAGCTTTTTCAGGACAGATAGTTAGATACAGTATCTACATATCTTCAATACTTTGATTGACCTCAATTAAAAAATGAACATTTTAATATAAAATGCACATTTCCATGTTGGTAGGCATATTGATTAGACGAGTGAAGCTGCTCAGGCAACACCCAACCACTCCAGCGGAAGGTTAAATGCTTACTTCACATACTCACATCACATGCAAGGCTTTGAATCTTCAATACATACACTTTTTCAGTTAAACAAATCTTTTGGGACTATGGATATAGAGGAATTCCTGCCAGTACACTACCTGCCTGAGTGAACCACTTCAAACATTTATATTTCCTGTGTCTAAATTCATAGTAAAGCTTTTGTAAATAATGCTACACTTTATGATTTATGTAGAGCCAATATGGTGTGTTGATTGACTGAACGTGCTATTTGTTGTTTAACAGCCTTGACCAGCTGTTGGGGCGGCCACTGTGCAGAGGTCAGAGTGATGTAATGAGAATGATGTAGGGATAAAGAGATGGATTAGAGGAGAGAGCAACCTCCACAGGGACACAGATGTAGTGATTACACCCAGATTAATGACACAGCACATGCGTCACACACGTCATTCACACACATCCATGGTACGGGCATTTCCTTCACTGAACATTATGTACTTTAACGCATGCAGACACAAAGACAAGCGGCCAAATAGGCTGCTTACTTTTATATTTATACATTCTGCTGGAAAGGCATTCCAAAAAAAACAAACGCATGGCAATATGTTGTGGTTATTTTCTTGGTTGTGCTAAATAGCATTACTAATTTATGTTTGCTTTCACCGTGTTAAAGGCTTCCCTGTTTCTTACTTGCATCAGGTACCTGTCCCACTTCAAAGACGTGTTGGTCCCATGAGAGGCAAAGCCCCAAGGTGTGGGGAGCACAGAGATTCACATCACACATACGCACTCCATACGCACACACTTTTCTGTTTTCACTGCTTTGCTCACTTCTCACTCTTTCACTGATTCACTTCACCTTCTCTGCTTTACCAGCAGAAGAAAAAGGCCAGATGATCTACGTCTCCCATCTTTCTCACTCCCTCGGCTGTCCTCTCTGGGGTTTGTGAGCTGTGGGAAACATCACAGTATTATGGGTGGTAGGCATCTTTTATACATATAAACTCCTACCAGGAATGACAGCAAGGCACACACACACACACACACACACACTTGTGGCCTAGTGAATCATGTTGAATGAATGGATTTCATTTGTATTAGGCTGTATGTTATGCTTTTGGAAGCCACATGTGGGAGAAAAAAACAAAGATAATGGACACAAATAGACACATAAATAGAAAACTGCAAAATTACATTTTGTAGCGGTCAGTCCAACCTCTCCTAATGCTGGTTATTTATCGTTGCTACTAACTACAGAGGGCCAATTCTGTACCTCAGAGACAGCTGTGTCAGCAAGATAACACACAGTACATGTTGACACGCTGCTTGTGCAGTGTGGTCATGTCTATATTATTTCAGAATCCCTTTGTATTTTGTGTATTTTGTGTGTGTATGTCACAATATCTATTGGTAACAACAGTACGCCTTAGTCTCTTTTGTCCTAACCTGATATGTAATCCAGGCTACTGCCTGTGCCTCGACTGATAGTAGTTTATCAGATCACTTGATGTTTAACATTCACTTTTTGCACCTGTTGAGAACATCTAAAGATAAAGAACAAAGGCTTGACACATGAACAAATACTAAATATTATTGTAAAATTGGAGCAAATCCAACAAGGTGAATCTTTTGGAAATATTAACAGCGGGGCGCTACAATCATAACCTAAATGAAGGCTGAGCAAGTAAATCCAGAATATAAACATTTTTATTTATTTTATTTACAACAATTTATTTCTCAAACACTTTAATCCATAGTTTACAGGTCAAAATGAGAGTTTATTAAGTGAATATGAAGCAAAAGGCATGAAAGCGAGAGACATTTTGCCATAGTGGAGAGCTTAAGATGTGTGAGGTTAGAAAGGGAGAGAGATCTTTCTGTTAATTTCTGTTGAGGTTTCACTCTTATTTACACAGACATAACCATCAAGGCTTGTATATGGATGCAAACAAAATTCCCAAAAACACGTACACATACAATACACTGTACTTGTACATACTGACAGCATGTAGCGTGTTACTGGTTGTAGAGGCTCGTTTACTGTTTGTCCTCCAATGTTCATTTTCCTCTTCCTCTTTCCCTCGGTGACATTTTCACTTGTAATAAAGCGTTCTGGTGCATTGGCTCCTGATAGAAACAGCACTGCGTGGGGACGACAAAGGCTACGAGAGAAAAGGAGTGGGTTCCAACAGAGGAAAAGGAAAAGCACTGTCATCTTTACACAGTGACAGAAACATGGAGAGCAGCCTGTTTATTGTAGTAGCCTTTGACCTTTTAATCCCTTTTGTAGATCAATGAATGGATTCAGAGCATTTCCCGAAATATATGATGCCTAGAAGAAATATGTGCAACTCCAGATTCCTTTTGGTTTTGCATCTGTTCCTCAATGGCATCTATCTGTGGGGTCAGAAGCTCCATCCAGCAGTGCTCCATCCAGCTTCAGTCCCAGAAGAAAAGAAGCCTTTGAAGCTTAACTAAGAGGACCAGCCTCATACATTAGAGTGTGATTTAGTAGTGGCTACAGGGACCATTGGCTAGAGGGGGCCAGGGGCCAGAGTAACAGTTGAAACTTGACAGAGAGAGAGAGAGAGGGGTGGGGGGATGCTTTGATGAGGAGGGGAGCTGAACTGGTTCAGAGCCTGTTGCTATGGTAGCCATGTGGAATAAATCAGCAGCATGAATCCCATTCTCAAATGCCTTCAGCACCCCACCGACTCAGGTAGACCCACACAGAATTTGAATGAGCATGATAACCTAGTGTGCAGCTCACCGTGAGTAAAAAACACAATCACGAGTCCTCGCTGGTTGTTTGGATTTTGTCTTGCACCAGCAATTGGCACATTCTACAATATTAGGAAAAAAAGCAACTTCCGTAGTATCATGTTTACAGCACTTCCTCTATCAAATCAAAATATAGCATTACATAATTATGAAAATGTATGTTTTAATCTAAGTGACAACTGCACTCAGCTCTCTCTCTACCTTTTTCTTTCTGCTTCAGTGTCTGTGTGTGTGCGTGTGTGTGTGTCTGTGTGCGTGGATGTGGACTGAGTTTACATTGTCATTATTGATAGCTAACCCACAGAGGTGACACCAGGGAAGGATGGTCCATTTTTTTTAATGGCAGGTATTCATACTGGGTATAGCATATACAACATGTCCAATTTAAGTCAAAGCTCTTAGTTGAAGAATATTCAAGGAGAATGATGAGTGACTATATTAAACCTTGACTGTTTCCACCCTATTATGAAAACAGGGAAAACAACAAGGTCAAAACTCTCTAAAGTGACAAAATGAAGAGATACATAAGGCACAATATGGAAAAAGAGGTGGTCTTCCAGACTGTTTTTTAGCAAAACCCATACAATGCATTTTACTGTAACATCAGATTGTTTGATGTTTCTGTCATCTCAGGATTAACTGAATGTTCATGAGGCTGACTCATCAGTTTTGCTAATTGCAAGCTTGGGTGGTCACTCTATTTGTCTTTTTTCTTCTGGGAGAAATGTGGTGTTCTACATTGCAGTTTTGTTGTGGTAATTATGAATCCCATCTGCAACATCATTTCATGCGAACAAAAGGCGGGAAATGAAGATAGAGGAAGTGGTAGAGGGAGATAGGGAGAACAAGAAGGGAGAGAGTGAAAGAGAGAGAGAGAGAGAGAGACAGAAGGAAAGAGGAGGGTACAGCCAGCAGAGAGTGATGACTTTAAATACACAGTTATAGTTACCAGATATGCACACAAAGACCACCCTGGATTTGAGATAAATACAATATACAATACACCAAATACTGTTGGTACATTTGATCTGTTGATGTACTAAATATGGACACTTACAAGAACAATTAGATTCACTGATGGGACCACTTTTCATTTACTGTAACAATTTTCACAAGTGCTTAAATAGTAATTAATCCATTGAGGGCAGAATTATAATCAAAACATGCCTCAAATATCAATAATAGTGGCATTGCAGCATCGAGTGTATGATTTGTGCGGCTATTGTAACCACACACACCACAGGGATGACCATACTATCATCAACAATTAGCATTATCATAAAGCTCAAGGCATTATTCACTGTTCAAAAACTACAACACTATATTTTCCAGTTTATGACATCTAGAAACAGCTAAAGAACTCAAAGGATAGACAAAGAAAATAAGTTAGTAGCAAAAAAGATTAGAAGGCCTTTACCTTTAACATAGTTTTCTCTCATAATAGATTCAGTAAGAGGTTGTCATATTGAGCCATTGAATGAAAGGTGGGTTTAGTGTGGCAGTCTGTGTGCGTTTTGCTTGACAGCTGGGTTGGGCTGGGTCGGTCCACAGGAGCTTAAATATTATATTCTCTCTCTTCAGATCAGAGGCAACATAGCTAAATCAGTCCTCCATCTCTTTCCAGATCCTCTGCTGCTCTGACACTGACTTGTAATGTATTTACACAGGGTCTGCACCACATAATCAGTCTACATCACACAAAAAGGCAAAATGTTGTATTTTAAAAATAGGTGGAAACATCACAGTCAAACTACTGATGAATGTCGCTACAACAGCTAGACAGCCTGCTACAGTACTGTTGTTACTGCTCTTGTTGAAAGCAAAGTGAATACCTTTTACATGGTGCAAACACGGACTGAGTCTGACCTTTAGAGTGTGTTGGTGTGTATGTGTGTGTAGTCAATCTCTGTTCTCCTCAGGTGTCCACAGTGTGCCTGGGTGCTCGGTGGGAGTTCTCCTCTCCTCTCCCTTTTCCTCTCTTCTCGCCACTCGGAGGACCATACTTCCTTTTGGTCTTTTTGCGTTTTTTATCAGAGCACCACACTCTCTCACAGTACTCCTCTACTCTCTGAGCATCCCCATAGCCAATCAGCTGGAGAAACTCCTTGTACCACAGCCTGGAGTGGGGGCCTGGGACTGAGGATGGCCCCAGAGCCCTGGGGCTGATGCTGGGGACTAGTGGGGGGCCCATAGAGGAGGGGCAGGGAGCTGCAGCCTTATCTCCTTTCCCCATTGCTGACTCCACCCTTTCTCCCCTGAGCACGTGTAGAGAGATACGTAATAATGTGTGCACATATCCATGCTCGACAGTCTGGCATACGTACATACCAGCATCAGAGCTTCTCACTCGTAAAAACAGCAGCCCATGGGAGGTCATGATAACTCGCTCATCACCTCGAACCTATATGGTGGTAAAAACACAAAACATTTATTTCTAGCCATTGATGTTGCTATTCTTCAAGTCTATCAGTATAGACATTTCAACCACTGCTGCATTAGTTCTTCTTTCGAGAGACATTTTAATTAAAAAACCTACAGAACTGAAGGAAAAATGAAGAAACATTTGAACTTCAATAGTGCACTCAATACAGTGACTTCTGTATCTAAGTTTCTGTGAGGTATATAACCATCCCAGTTTTCTGTTTGCTGTAGGTTATACTGCATGTTTGAATATATTGTTCAAATATAAACATTTAAATATATTCTTAGAAACTTAAATTAATTTTCCATGGTTTGTGGGACTCTACTCACTTGAAAAATCAAGATAAATACCCAACAACAACACCTTCCAGAAAGAATGTCACATTTACACACGGACAGTCCACGAACCTCGCTATGTAAATGTAATACCATTCACCCCCTCTGCACTGAAGTAACAGCAGAAATAACAGTCAAACCAAAACTATTTGCATGGAAGGATATATCTAAAGGGGTAAGAGGGACCTTTTGTTTTTAGAGTGGTGTACACAATAGCAGTAAGTGGTTAATAAATATTAAATATGATTCTGACTCTTATAGTTTTAGTGTATTGTATGTATGTGCGTTTGTAGTGCAATAGCCTGTTTAGTGGGTTAACGTTTAGATTATTTTATGTACAGGTCCATCAAACTCACCTCGTGTTTCTCTCGGTCTTTTTGTAAGAACCAGATGACCTTGGCTTGAAGTGATCGAGGGACACACTCGAGTAAAGTGCTGTTGCTCTCCACACCGTACACCAGCCTCTCCTCAGCTCTTTGCCATTGTTCATCTACACACACACACACACACACACACACAAACATCGTAAAAGATGCGGCAAGAGAGATTGCAACGAACTGATGCGACCTTTCATTAGCTGACAAACAGAGTGGATTGTTCCAATCAACTGCAATGACATGGAGAGGTCATATATTTTCATCTTCAGTCTAATGCTTCTGAAGAACTGCATAATTTCCTTGCTTGTGTACAGTATTTGTCTGACACATTTGTTTGATACCAATGAATACACACATACACACACACACACTCATTTTATACACTAACCATCAATTTGCAGCCCATTGCACAGCTGGACAGCGTTGCCATGGCGAACATCCTGCCGTCTGAATCGTCTGCTGAGATGGGAGCACGGGAAGTAGAGAGAGCAATTTTGAACATGTGAGGAATGTACAAGAAACGGGTGAAAAAAATCAAACAGGGTGACAGAGAAAAAAATCACAGAAAGAGGGATGGTGATCAAGAGTGCACTGATTGGTATTAAACAACACCTGGCTATCATGTCTCTCACAGCCTGTGATAATGACTTGGCAAACCAGCCTCAGAGCACTGTGACATTCAGTGCAAGATGCTTTGATGGAACAGAACTACTGATAAAGGTGTGAACAGCTGGTATCACACACACACACACACACACACACACACACACACACACACACACACATATCTGCAAGGGGAAAATATGGTCCTGTCTCTGAGTGTGTGTGCTGTTACCTTTTGGTGTAGACTCCAGCAGGGTAGTATCTGGTGCAGGTGAGACCATCCCAGGCACAGTAAGGGTCTCTGGCCAGACAACAATCAGCACATTCGGAGCCATAGAGGTCACACTGATGCAGTCTGACTTGGGCCACTCCCACTTCTGACCCAACATACAGCTGTTGCTGTTGACCCAACAGCATGAGCACCATTAATATCAGCACACAGTTTAATTGGATTCCATACTTGTGCTTTCTGCCTTTACCTCATTCAACTGGGTTATATAGACACAAGTAAGCAACAGAACAGCTCAATTATGCCAACACAATTTAATAAAAAATGTACCAATGTTAACATCTTGTGGCTAAACAACAGAATTGCATGAGTGAACAGTAAATGGATTCACATGGTCCTCTTACCCGTTTAGGTGATATTAGGATTTCTTGTATTGGTGCTGACACCTGCAAACAGGAAACAATCTTACTGTTATTCAAAAATAAAGTTGAATCAGTGGATCGGCATATGCTATAAGAATAAAGTAACAAGAGCTGACAAAGTTATTTGTTACTAGAGGCTTCCCGTCATGCTTCTATCCATCCCAAATCAGGCCTGAATTAAAAGGCTTGCAGACTAGTTTTCAAATGTAACTGATCTCAGTAGAGTTGATATCTTCAAATCATTCTAAAGATCTCTCACAGCAGTTCTGCTGCTCAATCATACTTGTGATACTTTTGATGATGGAAAGGAAGCAAATCAGCAATCTATGTTTTCAAAATACCCCGTTATTGTGTAACTGCAGCAATAACCGACTGTGGTCTGTTTGCAGTAAAATAGAGAATTTGCTCGGTTACAGGGTCTACTTTTCTTTCACATTGTGTAGCTAAAAATGAGTACCTTGAATACTTGCAGCTCTTCCAGCAGCACCTCCTCCATAGTGTCTGTGTCTTTGTTGTAGATGGTGATAACTTTCAACACCACTGAGTCATCTAATAAAGAAGACAACAATGTACACCGATTTACAACCAGTGCAAAGATTCAAAACTGCCTCAGTATATGCAACACCTGTTTTAATATATGAGTTTATACCATCAAAATGTTGTGTGTTTGTGTTCAGAGTATCTTCTGTTTTTCTTTCATTTTTGCAATATAATGCATAAGGCATTCTGTATTACACATTATTCTTCACACGTGTGTATACCAGTGCCGATGTAGAGAACATGATAGTGTCCGTCCTGTGCTTGGACTCTATCCACGGCGATCTGGGTCAACTTTCTCCCGCCTGGCTCTATCTGCAGCAGGACAGGTCTACGGTGCTGTGGAAGGACTGGACGATGCATCACAGGATGAGAACGCACGAACCGCAAAACCTCATCAGGAAACTCCTTAGAGCTTGAGAAGCCACCTCCGTTCACTTTACTGGCACACTGTTAAAGAGAGGGTGTGACAGGAATAGAGAGGGGCAGGGACAAAGACAGATTGGTCATTCATACAAAAAAGCTGACAAAAAGCTGACATGCTATCGTTTGGCTCAGACTGGCCCTGTATGACCTGCTGAGGTAGCTACAGTAGTGCTGACATTCACCAGAGCTTTCCTACATCAACATTGTTCCTCCCAAATGGCGTCTGTCATGGACTTAGACTTGTAGAGAGTGCTGTGAATGCATAATGTTGGTACATCAGGGAATGACATCCCGTAAACATGACTTTATTCAGACTTAAAGACTCACAGATCCAGGTCGAGGGTAGGGGACTCTGTCCTCATAAGCTGTCCAGTGATGCTCAGGTCTCTCTCGGTAGGCAAATGGACCATTAAAGGCTGCTCTTATATCTTCCATGTGATAGACACATACTGCATAGCCTTTAAAAACCGCACTGCAAAAGAAGGTTTAATTAGCGATTTTATGGATGGAAAATTGTGACTGTATAGTGAAATGCTGACGTCACACTCCATTCACCTTGTTGTGCTAAAGAGGCCAAATATTTCAGGGTTGTTGCCATCCTTGTTCTTGAGCACAAACACATCCTCTGAAACACAAAATATTGAAATTAGCTGTTTGTTTGCCATACAAGGTTGACATTTTTACATGGTGAATAAAGTAAACGTAATTCCTGCCAAGCATCAGCATGATAGCACTGTCTTTGTGAGCATGTTATCATGCTGACCTGTGCTAAGTGCAGCTTCACAGAGTTGGTTGAGACAGTTTGTTGAGTACAGATAGTCTTTTGGGAGTCTAGGTCTGAAAGATTCTCCTAACAGGTTGAGCAATTGGTTAAAATTGTTCTTCTCCTGCAGCAGACGGACGGATATGTTGTTCATCCACATGGATAAAAGACTCTTTGTGGATTTTGGAAATATCTTCAGAACCGCAGGATGCCTTGTTAAATGACTTTCTAGAGTTGTCAAATATCAGCCCTTCTTTATTTCTTGATTTTTTAAATTGAAAACAGATCTCTGAGACTAGAATTTAGCCTAAATATAATACATGAGAGGAACTCACTGGGGCTTTAGTCACTCTATACATCGGCTACTGGCTGTGCATCTTATGTAAACAATCCCAAGTGTTGAAATGTGTTGCTTTAGCATACTACTAAACTGTAGGTCAGAACCACAATGTAACAAAAATCCTTCATACCACAGTGACTCTTCAAATCTTGAGGGATGTAGATGCAGATGCGTACATCAGTGTCATTCATTATAAACCTTGAATGTTAACAATACATAAATAAGATTGCATGCAAAGAGTTTCCTTGTAGCCCCACCAAGTTCATCAAAGTGTGTATCAATGCCATTTTCTCCAGCCACAGAGCAGATGAGACGAGTTTTCAGGAAGGAGCTCCATCTATTCACCAGCATTCTCTGTCCTCCTTGGTCATTCTGAGAGACGGAGGCAGATATAGAATGTGAGTGCTGCTGTACTTTGGCTGGATAATGGCCAGACATCTTTTCACAGCATTTGCATTCTCACCGCACAGACTCGGCCCACACGAGTATACACAGCCTTGTTCCCTCCCTCGGCATCCATCTCTTGCTCAGTGAAGAAGAAGTAAACTTTATCATCATCTCTGTCAGCGTTGTCAGGAATAACTGCAGACCCCACAAATTTAGGTTCTGTAGGGAGAAGAATTTGTCACAAAAGGCTTGGAATGAAACACAAAGTTAAAAACTGGTTTAGTGCAAACAGTATGCCTGTTATTTATAAGCTGTTCATTTGAAATGTATACCCATAAGGTTGTTATGGTCTCTCTTGAAAATATATAATTAATTGCCAGGCCAGAACTGAGAAAAACATATATGCAAGGGAAGATATTGTTGAACTATTTAAAAATTAAATTAAACAACACAAGCTCATGAATCATCAAATAGAACCAGTCCTGATAAGAACAGTTATATTGACAACATGTGGAAGGCACACAGTATCTACACTACTCTCGGCCAGTGTCACATTTTATTTGACGTTTATTAACCAAACAATTCAATTTGATTTACAATCATGAAACTACCAGGTTTGGGAAGGAACATAAGTATCGATCATTTATACTATCAATCATCACATCTCATGGGAATACCATCTCATTGAACTGCCACACTGTTTTTTATATATTTTTGAAAACATGCTTTGTTAAATTTGTTACCACATATTCTATATATGTTTGCACTCCCTTGCATTCAAAAGGATATCAATTTGCTGTAAAATACACCAACCATTAAGTTGCTGCTTGTCGTCTCTTTCAGTGCGTGTGTAGGTCTGGTTGTTAAGTCGACAAAACGCACCATCATTCTCCCAGTAGTCTGTGTACAGGCCAATATACAGCTCTCCTCCTAATATATGCACACACACACACACACACACACACACACACACACACACACACACACAATTAACAACAATGCATTCAAATAAATGTGCTTAAATGTGAAACCCCTTTTACTGTGATTGAAATACAGACATGAATAAACACCACAAGATGGCAGCATTGACTGGTTATAGGTCAACAAAGTAAACACATCTCCCCCATGTAGAATTGCATCCTATGAGTGAAAACATACATCACAATCTGTGCTTTTAGCTCAACTGATGGTGAGGTGATGAGTGATCAGTGTCTTACTGGAGAGCGTAGACGTGCAGGGGCTGTTGGTGTCGTATGGACAGCGTCCTCTGCCACTCATGATACTGTCTTCTTCAAGAGCAAACGGCCTGCCCTAAGAACATTAACACATGACACACAGGCATAGTTATTCATACACAAACATGCATGAAACACTCAAAAGCTGTGCCCTTGCAAAGGCTTTACCAAACATCCAAACAAACCCCAGGAGGTGGTGCGTGGAGAGAGAGACAGAGACAAAGGTGAAGGAGAGAGAGGAGGGATCAGAAAGTGATGGATGAGAAAGAGGAAGAAAGACAGATGAGACCAGGAGTGATGGATGACCGAATGAAGGATGTTTGTCTGGATGTGTATAACCAACATAGTGAGTTCACTACTTCTAGTCTTCTGCTCCCATTACCCCACAGCAGGCGGCAGAAACGCACGTGTGCAGACACACACTCACACACACATACATAGAGAACTCCCTATATAACCACAGATTTTATCTTGTGGGCCACCACAGTGTTTATGACTGTCACTGGCAGAACAGAGGGGATGTCATACATTGATTTACGAGTATCCCCAGAACCCCACTGTGCTGTGACTGCTCCCCGCATAAGAAGTCTGGGTTAAACTCATCCATCATATTACAACAAAATCAAACGTAAAATAGGTCAAATAGGCTGATACAATATTACCCTACATTAAGTAATCTGGAATGTGGGCTGTTTTTTTGTTGTTGTTTTGGCCTATGGTGCATTAATACTTACGTAATTTGTTACTCAGTGGTCTGCTTGGTAAATGGCAAAAGTATTTTCTCATTAATCGTTATGTAAATATTATTCAGCTCATGCTTAAGGGTCATTGTAATCTCATACACCAAGTATAACATTTTTATGAGGCAACCTTGTTAAGTATTCTTAACAAGGTTAATATATATATATATATATATATACCGTATATTATATATGGACCCAGTTTTGCTCACTCTATGAGCATTCCAATGATATGAGTGATGGTTAAGAGTGGCTGGCCTTTTTCCCTGTTTACTCTGACAGCAATAGTGTCAGCTTTTTTCACTAAAAATGAGAACCTTGTATAGAACAATCCTCTCCCTCTAAGGAAAACAAAAACTCCACCCTCTCTTACTGTTTTTTCCGTCTCCACCTCACATCACTTCTTGTTGCTAGGATGTTATACACTCAATGACAGTAGCATGAGATTAGTAGCTCAACATTCCATCTGTACTAATAGTTCTAGGAGCTCTTGGCTAAAACATCAAAACAGTGTGAAGAAGATTTTGGCTACTCCAACTAAAGAGACAAGTGTGTACAGCAGAGGAGCATGATGCAAAATTTGGCTGACAGTATAATGATGAAATATGCAACATTTTCATTAAAATAAGGAGCAGGAGGAACCCTTTTCATAGCACTTGAATATTTGGTTGTTAAACCAAACTCTAATTCTGTCTTTGGGACTCACCTGCCCAGTGTGTCCCACTCTCACCAGGACACAGATGGGGTTAAAGGCTCCTGTTCCACAGACCAGCAAATGAGTCTGGTTGTACTGTTGCAAGACCTTGATGTAGTTAGCACACTCCGACTGTTGGAAGAGATACAGAGATGAAGCAATGGGTGGGGAGGAGGGTTGTTGGGTGAGGATATATGAGGGTGAGTGAGGCCAGCAGAGAAAATGATGTACTGGAAAAATTCCAGGCCTTTTACGGCCTCATCAATAACATCAATACTTCAGGTTAAACAAAGGTTAATGAGCACCATGAGATATGTAAATCAATCAATTAATTCTGACAGTATCTATCTCTATAATGGATGTATCTACCCGCATATCAAATTGATTTGACTGCATATATACATGCCAAGTTAATGCACATTATTAACTGGGCATTTGTGCTTTACTCTTGAAAATCAATCTCATCCATTCTACCAATGCCCAGTTGAGAACATGTATTTGTATGCAGTCATGTAGACCATGTCCCGTACCTTTTCCCTTCCCTTCATCAAACACTCCTCGATCTGAGATTCTGTACTGGCCCATTGGATCTGTGGGAAAACACAGTCACGCTCATATTTACAATGAAGATGTTTCAACATAAATAAATACAAATACATGAAATATTTTTTACACAAATAGTTAGGTGTATATTATGTTCACTGCTAATAATCTCACAGAGGTATCGTGCCACCTTTTCAATTTCTAATTTGAAAAAAGACTCAAAGTTATAGTGCTGTTTTGCACTGATAACAGTCCTATGAAGATGCACACATGCACAAATATTTTGGCTAACCTATGGCCCTATGGGTGTGTGAGTTACAACTTGTCTCTCTTTCTAGTGAAAGATGAAAGCAGGCCTACCTCTCTGTGGTGTGTGTTGACCCGGTCCAGGCTCAGGGAGAACAGAGCATTCTTGGCCCCAACATAAAGCCTCCCATGGCCCTCATCCAGCAGCATGGTCTGGGGCTGAAGAGATGCTGTCCCATGTCCCTGGAACACCCAGGTCCTGTTTAGCTGCCAAAGCTCTGCAGACGACAAAGCACGCACAAAGAGATTAAGAAAAAACAATACACAGAAGCAACACAATAGAGGTCTGCAATTAAGCAATTTCAGCTAGAAAGATACAGATAGGTAGAAAGATTTCAAACACCCTCGTCTTTATTCTTGCCTGTACTAACCAGCAAGATTACATTTGACCAAACATCAAGGGATTTCTAACAGCTCCAATAACCTGCGTCTATGTCCCAAATGGCCCAATGGCCAAGGGCACATTGCAACATGTGTTTCTGATTCATAGCTTCCCCAAGCGGGGGTCAAAGAGCAGCAGCAGGGTTATCTTTATATCTCACCTCTCATGTGGCATCTATGCTTCCTCTCACCCAAGTCAGCTACGCTTCTTTGTGTCATTGGCTTGGTCATAAATCTACAAAGCGTCTTGTTTTTACCATCAGTAAAAGTTCACATGGCATAAAAGAGTACCGGCCACTCAAAGTCAACCTCCCATGCACCAGTACGTGCCGATAAACTAATACTGAGAGAAGAACGATAGCAACCATGAACGCACTTTGCAGAAGCAGGGATGGAAGAAGTGGGATATGAGTCCTGGGAAAGATGTTGAGATTAATAGGAGGGACATTTGATGTACAAGCCAGGGTTTATGGACACTTTTACCAGGAGGAAGCAGTTTTATCAGACAGGAAACAGAACCAGTCTCTTTATCAGCCATTAGTTTTAGATCAGCTGACACTCCCTGTCAGTCTTGCTTTAGGTGTTTTTAAATCCTACTTTAAAACAGAAGCAGTGGACCATGACAGATATGTCATGAAATATAAATGCACACTCATCAAATTGCACACCAAGCAGACACAGATAGTCTACATGCACACATGCAACGCCACCCAGTTGTATGATTGAAACTGACAAGCCATTCCTCTATACCTGCTCTTTGTGAGCTTCTGGAGAGCATGAGGGTGAAAGGATTTAAACAAAGTGCTGAGGCCCCAAAGGTGTGCACTTCCTCTGGCGTGCATTGGCCTGAAAAACCTTTCATTAACACATGACCGGGTTAGACTGGGTGTCCTTGTAAAAGACGAAATGGGGATCTGGTGTGTGTTAGCACAACTTTTGAAACCTCAGACAGATTTAAGCAGTCAAGCCAGGGTTTGCGAACAAATTTATAGCACTAGCATTGCTCATGCTGTATTCTCTCCATTTGGTTTTACTTTCATCCACATGTGGCAAGAGCTTTAGGGGTAAAATGAGAGGAGACCAACAACACCACCTGGGGAATTGCACCCCAGGAAACATGGACTTAAGAAGCTTAAGATATTGTTTTGAGAATTGACAAGGCACACCGATTCATTACCGATTGGAAGTAGAGAAGTGTTTTGTAAAATGAACCAAAGGTTTTTTTTAAGGAATCAAAAGCAATCAAATGAGCATGGATGAGAGCTGCGGGGAGGAAATATTAATGAACAAATGAAAATGACAAAAACCAATAAGGGATTAAAAATAATTTGTTATTATAAATTAAGCTTAAAAAGGCCTTACTGAACACTCTAAAAGTACATCACAATCTTTAATATTCTAAAATGTCCTGTCCAACATAACTAAGCAAAACTGCAGGATTTAAGTTGAGGCCACTGGTGGGGAGGCAGACTACACTGAGGAGTGCCCAGTGGTGCCACCAGTCACTCACCATAGGTGCAACACAACTATCCCCACAACAGAAATTGTGCATTCTACACTCATATCCCAGTGCACATGCATGCCACTGGCAAGAGTCACTCACTGTAGGAATGACAACAATGGCGTATCTGTAACACAAAACACTACCAGCCACCACAGAGACAGGACAGAGGCCAAAAAACAAAGAGGCTATGCCAACAAGTGCCCTTTATAATCTGGCCCTGATTAGGGAATTGGTTGGGGGAGGAGCCAGCCTTAGGGCTGCGTTCACAACACCCTATGCTGCATTCACTACTTGGGGAGCATTCCACACATCAGGCCATCTGTGCACTGCTCTTCAGAAAACTCCCTTTAAATGAAGAGAGAGTAAAACAAATGGCGACCACCAGCATGATTGTAATACTATGCCAACCTTACAGCTACCTCAAATAATGCTGAGATGTCGTTAAATGCAAGGGTTACAGGGGGTAATTGTATGATTTGTTTTCCTAGCATCTGTATATTTTTTGTGATACTTGATCTCCAAGATAGAAAGAGAGAATGTTTATCCAATTTTTGTAGATTACTCAGAGCAATGGCATACACTCTGTAGAAGGTTTTATTTGTTTAACATAGGATTAGATATCCACAGGGGAGTGGGTGACTGTGTATATTTTGTTGCTATTAAGATTTCTACGTTGGAGACAAGCGACTGTTTGTTTGAGTAGTATTGGATCTCGGGTGGTTAGGTGGCAGAGACTGAGGGGATGTGGCAGTGGCGTTCTGCCAGGGCTCAGACATGCTTCCTGTAATTATCTAATCCACACACACTTGGAGCTCTTTCTCTCCCTCTCTCTTAGTCACACACATGCATGCACACACACGCACGCACGCACACACACACACACACACACACACACACACCCACACACACACACACACTGTCTCTCATCTCTATCTTCCGTCTGAGCTACGTTGAATTTGTATTGAGGATAGTAAACAACTCAACTCCAACTTTTCCACAAGTGTTAGGCTGATCTCTCAAACAATCAGCTCCTTCTTCATGTGAAGTTGAATCTGCTACCACTTATTTAGATGACAGACGTGAAAGGCTATTTAAAGGGATGGAGTAAACAGTCCACGAGCCAAACCCTTTTATTTTCATCTACTTTTCACTTGTCTTTTTTAATAATCTTGAGTAGCAGCTGATTTGTATGGAGACATGCAGTACATACAGCAAACAAGCTGTTTTGCTCTCTCTCACACACAAACACAAATACGGATACATTTCGTTCTATAATTTTGTTTAAATGTGTAGAATTGTAAATATGATAATTTAGATGTCTTCAACTCTAAACTGGAATGTTTCCATGTCATGCTCATGTGGTTAAACAAAAAGAGGAAACTATAACAATGATCAGCTTCAAAGGAAAGAGAAAAAAGGAGAGAGAATGAAAGAAAGAAAGTTCCATTCCCACCAGTATGCAAATACAAGTGAAAAGAAACTATAATCCAACACATTCTCACTCCCAACTCATTAAAGACCAACACTAAGTCAGTGGCCCTAAGGTTCAAACTATGACACTCTTGCCCTCCAGCATTGGTTTTGGACACGTCATGGACGGCGTGTCAGTTTAAACTCGTTACATGCATCTTGTCTTTTCAAAATAAAGTTCCATCTTCACAGGAAGTTAGGTTTAGGAAAAAACACACTTTAGTTTAGTAAAAGAATGTGATTGACGTTAACTTAAGACTAACAACTCAAGTAACCACCAAGTGACAAATGAGTCATATGCTACTAACATGAGTCACGTGACTAACGACTGACATGACAAAGTGTGAACATTTACTTTTAGTTTAGCACCAGACATGAACAGCTAACCTTTTTTTTCCCATTTTGTCACATGAGGCGTTACTCACGTGATTCATTTGTCACTCGATAGTCACTTGAGTCAGTGGTCCAGTTAAGTCCACCATGCTCTTTCCTTAGACCTTACTAAGTGGTTTTGTTGCCGAAACCTAATTTCCTGTGAAGACAGAAGGTTTTTTTTGTAACAAGCTGTCACTCACATGTGCAAAACTGATGCTGCTTCATAGTTTTAAGCATAGGAGCACTGACCAATCTGCATTACAGCGGTCTCATGGACGAAAGTCCTGTGTTTGTTTGACCCATCCACCGTCTCTCCCACCCGCCCTAAGTGGAATATTGCATACTTTATACTCCTTCTGTTGCTGTGAGCATCTAATAATGACACGGGTGGGTTTACGTTGGAGTTAGTTGAAAGCTCTGTGCGTCGCATACAGATGTTAAAGCTCCGTACGTCAGTATCAGATGCCCTGACCAAGTTTCAACATTTGACGAGTTGGAAGTTGTAAAATCTAATTTATAATAAGGTGTTGATTAATCAGCTTACACAGAATTTCAGAGTTACAATTAAACATGGATGCGATTGCACTGACAAACCGAGATACAAACAGAGATTACAATGCTGTTTAAAAGGTTTCTTCTCTGTGATTATGTGCACCGGTTACAGACAGTTGAGGCCACTGCTTAAACTGAAGAAGGGAAAGAGGGGATTTCCGCAATTCCCCTTTCTCTCTCTCTCTCACTCTATCTTTTCTCCAAGTTTTTCTTGCCATCTGCAGCCAATGAGGGCTCCTTAGCCGTAAGCTAAGGAGCTGAGAAGAGGAGGGTGTTCCTCCATCAGCAACTGAGCCAGGGAGACACATGGCCCTACTGTGATCTCACTTCAAATGGAAAACACAGGGAAAAAGGACTCCCTTAAGACAAACACTTTCCTCGGCTGTCTGAGGAGTGCTGAGAGATGCCCGAGAAGATATGGTAAATATTCATGTTTAGTCAAAGATAAATGCACACAGGAGTTCACATAAAAGATTCCTCAGGAAACTTAAAAACACAAATTGTATTTGCTAATACACACATTTCATTTCAGAAGTAAAACTAGTGGTAGGCAGTCTCATATTTCCAGTGAAAAAAGCGTATGTAGGTTTACGTATTGAGTTATGGGAGTTGTGGCGGAACAGAAACAAAGAGAATGATTGGAGTGGGCTGGAGTTAAAGTTGACTTGAATGAGGAGGGAGTCTGTTCACCTCGTGCCGTCAAGGCCTGAGACTGGAGCCCCTGGATGGGGAGGGGGTCAGGAGTTGGAGAACTGGCGTGTGATGCTATTATCGGTTTACAGCCTCGTGTTCCCGTATCCTCTTGTGTGTGCGGGGAGAATGATGTCACAGAGAAAAATTAAAGCCACATGGAGAGAGAGAGAGAAAGAGAGCAGCGCATGTTTCTCTGTAATAAAGACTAAGTGTAAGTCTGTGACCTGATTGATGTTATAAATCAGGGGTGCACATTTACAACTGACAGTTTATTTTGTTATTGGACCGAACAGTTATATACATGCAGTGATCCCATACAGTATGTGTGTCACAAAGTCCATCTACATCAGCTCCAAACTATATTTCCTCAAATATAGTACATGTATATAACTTTGGAGCCCAACTCAATTAGTTATTGATGTGGGTTACTGTGTGTCAATGCATGAATGTCAAAAGAAAAAATGTAAACAGATTTTGATATGTGCTGTGGAATATCTAAAGCAATGTCAATACAGAAAAAAAGGTTTGCTCAGTTCTTTAAGCTGCAGAACACAGTGAACACATTTAGATTTCTTTGCTGTATTTGTAAGTGCATTAGTTCTAACGTTTATTACCCTTTTAAGGTTATTATAAGTTTAACCAACAACTTGAGTAGATATATTCCGTTTTGTTTCTTCTCTATCTCCCACTAGTTGGCATAACAAAATAACAAGCATTGCTTTTAACTGCCATCCTACTAGCAATTGTCATTTCTGTGTCTTGAAGTGCTCACCTCAGTTGTCATCTGTCATCCTCTTTTTTCCCCCCTTTCTTATAATATTGCAGCATTCTCTCTGAAGACTTTTTGTGCCTTCTCTTTTTTATCCAGGCCCCACACTTTACTCATCTCCTCTCCCTGATCCCTTCACCGGGAAAAGGTTAGAAAGGATATTAGAGTTTCACCAGCTGCCTTCCCCTCCGGACATCTCATTAATGAACTGCAGAGCACACGTAACACAATGGGAGAGAAAAGGAGGCTGAGATGTACACAGACAAAATGAGAAAGTGAGAGAGAGGTGAGAGTGGAGCGGAGGCGGTTGAGAAAATATCTCTTTTCCTTTGCTGACCTAAAAGGCGTGATTTATCTAATCACTGCCATAACCTCCATTTTCCAGTGGTTTTATGTATAAGGTATATGACTGCCCTATGGCCATAATCCAATGTGGCAAATGTTAATTATAGGGTGCACATGTAGGTGGAAGAAAGTCACAAATTTATATAGAAAACAATAAAAAATAAAAAAAATCCCCCCTCATTCATTTCATTTTAGGCAGACACAACTTGAGGCCATACTGGTATTCCCCATCTCACCTTCAGAAGACAGTCACCTACAGCCACATCATTTCAAGGTTGTAAAATATAGAGAGAGAGAGCGGTTTCTTGTCTGGAGAGGAAGGTTTAAAATTACAGCTCAAAGGGGGTTTTCATACATACAGTAATTGCTACCTGAGTAGCCCCTGTGTTCACACATGCACGTACCTCAGCCCCTTCTGCTTAAATCTCCCAATTTTACAGTAAATGCTGAAGAAAATAAATAGGTTAAGTATTTGTTGAACAATGTATATCCAGAAGCTTAATGTGCTTACCTATATTTTCAGTCATTCCATTTTTGAAGACTATACACATACATCATGTATGAGTAAATCCAGCTGCTAAGTGCTTTAACCAACTTTTGTTTACATTTTCAATGAGGTAAATGTTGGGTTGAAATAGGGAAAGCACATGTGTTTATTTATATAGGTGAACATATACAGTATGATGTCAGAACAGCTTAGCATCACCAGATAACTTTATTCACCTTCACAGATCTGTTGAGGAAAAATATTTATCCCTAAATCATTACGACTTTTCAGTAAAAACATCTTTGGCAGACATGCTGAAGGTATGCATGGTCAATTGAATTATTGTGAAATGGCTATGTTTTATTCTGTGTGCTTGACATCGCTGCCCTCATGAACACTTTTACTTGTCTGACACATGTTTTTGGGAGAGAAAGATTGACTGTAATGTTAATATGTAGGGGGTTTTGGGGGGATTCTTTCAAGATGTTTTGCTACAAACAGAAGCAAGAGCATGCAGACTCTCTCAGCTATGAATAATTTAGTTTTAATATCACAGTTTTCTTTAATTTCTTTATCAGATAATAATTTCTGTAAGGGCACATTACCAGAGCAGTTATTGACAGGTATGGACAGGTACCTATTATATGGGTTTTAAGCTTCAGTAAATCAGAAAATCATTATTCATCTAAAACACTAGACTGAATTGAAATGATGGAATCAACAGGATTTGAATGTCCAACACAAGTGCAAAGTTAACTAAGCAAATATATCAAACTATGCAGATGTGCAAAGATTTTAGAAGTGTCTTTGGTCTGATTAGGTCAATACTATTACAAAAACTGCTGTATTACACTCCCTGCAGCTCAAGCCAAGCATGATGACAGTGCTGTGGAGGCAACAAAATAAGCTTGGCCACCTACCTGCAGCCTGTCAAGAACCTGACACATGCTATCTGCATAACAGCTTCATTAGCAGCAGAATTCATGGTCATCCGAAAGGAAGAGCTCATTTCACTCCACAGGCTACAAGACTAGGACGATGCAGATCCAAATCTGTGACCAAAGGCACACAAATGAAACAAAACAAACTTTTCTATTCTGCTATGTTGAGCACATCTCTCTGCAGGGCATTTCTATGTGTAAGAAGTCAGGATTTAGGAAGTTTGATTGGCCAAAAGTCCAAGCAATTTGAGGTCTTTAGCTTGTGTTTAATGTCTTCGGAAGCTGTGTAGTCAAAGATTAGGTTCAATTACTTCTACAGACATCTGTGAGTCTGTGATTGTAACTCAATACTCCATATGAAATAGGTAATAACCTTTTGGAACTGAAGTTAATCGGGGAGTAGGCAAATAATGTAGAGATGAATGGGATCAAAGAAATCAAGTGCAGATGGAAATCAAGTGCAGATGGAAAAATCTCCCCTGGTCCAGAAGTCTAGACAAGAAGATGGGGAATAGATGAAAGAGACCTCTAATAATGATTCCACACCATGTGTGAGGTGTGGTTAACATCAAAGCATACAAAGATCCATACTTAATGGTAGAAAGGCCGTCCTTGAGACACATGATAGTGTGCTCAAAGGAATTAGTTTCCAGAAACTGGAGAAAGTTGATCTGATATATTATTGAGATCTGCCCATGTGACCAGAAGCTGGTAAACAAATATTTCTGCAGTTATATTATCAACTTTTATTTCCCATTGTAAATCTTAATGTCAAAGAATCTAGTTTTGATACCATATGTTATGGTAATATTAAACCACATACCTCTCGGTCTCCCTGAACTACATCCAAGTCATTGGTGTGTGTGGAATTCACACTATTCTACTTGTGCACTTGTGTATGTGTCTGTCTGTGTGTTTGTGTGTGTGTGTATATAGGTGTGTGTGTGTGCGTGTGCGTGTGTTTGGGTGAGCCAACGGGTGTGTGCAAAAACCACTGACAAAACCCATGAGGTATATATTATGGCTTATATGTTTTTCATTCCATAATGATAGAACCCAACTGCAGCCATTTCATGGTGCTCTGTGCTAGCCAGAACATGTAGTAGCTTTTCAAAGGAGAGAGAGAGAGAGAGGGAGGGGGGAGAGAGAGAGAGAAAGAGAGCTAAGATGTCAATCACCTCAACAGCTTTCCCCTCAGGTGGTTAAGGAATTAGTCATAACGAATATTGATGTGGTATTTATGACTAAGCACATCAGCACTGATCTGCTCACTTTTCTTGTCATATGAGCTTTGCATTACTGTGGACAAAAGAGCCAACCTCTTCTTCTCCTTATCTTCTCTCAATTTATCTTTCAACTTCATTAAGTTTATATTTCCATTAAGTCTCACTAGAAAAGTGTATTAATGTAATTATTTATTTATTGTAGATATGCACATCATAATTCATAATAATTGCAAACCCTCTTCAAAGATGAACCAGACTTGTCAACTCTTCCGAATCACACCACCGTTTGTATGTATGAGTTACTGACCAAATTCCACACCTATATTCAACCATGACTAACAGGCTTATGTGGAATCATCACCTTCTGTTGCTTTAGAGATCAAAGATACTGTGTGCAAAAGCCAATGTTTACGAAAGAGTTTTATCTATAGAGATAAAACCACCATTATTGTCCAAGAGATAAACGACCATCAGGCCGCATACCAGTGCATGCACATCCATATCACACACTCCCACACATGTAAACAGGCACACACAAACACTTTTCTCTCCGCAGCCGCGTCCATTCCCACGTCCAAAAAAAACCACCACCATCGCTCTGCCGCTATGTCATGAGAGACAGCCACATTGTGGATTCTCAGCCCACATGGCCGAGGAACCAAAACAAACTACAAGGAGACTGAAAAAAGCATGCACTTCACAAAGTCAGAGCAGAAGTCCGATCAAACCCTGCATAGTTCTCTCAGGCTGAAACATCTTCAATGACCATGTGGTTACGTGATAATGATAACCTGCGGCTTCTTTTGCTCGCTCACAGTGGATGCCGCTTCTCTGACTTTACTTTTTTTTAAAGCACACTTTCTGTGTTCGAGCATTTTTGGTTCTATGTTGTATTTTACACAATATCTTGAAGAGAAATATGTAATTCACTTGTTAAATCAGATTGAAAAAAGCAATTTTTAACATTCATTTTGTTAATTTTAGTAGTACCAACAGAAATGTCGCAATGAAATCTGCTATAAATTGGGAGCAGAGGTCTATTAAAATGTGAACAATTCTGTTCTGTTACACCCGTCTTGTTCTCAGTCTGCACTAAAGGCACTGAACAGAGAATGCTAGTTTTGGTTGAGGCTGTATTGAGTATTCCTGATAGTTTAACACACTGTGCTGCATCACCCGAAGGCTGACTTTGCCTTTATATTGATGCAGCACAACAGAGCATCTAAATTTATGCAACATAGCAATGTGCTGCTAAAGAAGATTTAATGTAATAAAAGAAACACATAGGTATTACTTACCTGTGTGAGAGAGCCGTATCCTTGGGTAGATGCTGCGGGCTGTGTGAGCCGTGCCGAGCAGAACAAAATACAACAGCATCAGTGTCAGATACACAGTCCGTATGCACTCTGCCATCCTCATTGAGAAACTCTCTCCACGTTCATCTACACAGAAATCCTGCAAGTCCACTCAATATGGGCAGCAAAGTCCATGGGAAAAAAAAGAAAGTATTTTTGCTGCAAGTTCCTGCAAACAATGTTTAATAAGAAATAGCAATCCAACAAAAGTCTACTTGGAGGTAACTGTCCATTTTCTGACTATCACCACAATGTGTATCTACTAGGTGTATCTGCAGCTTCTATACAGTCCCTGCTTTCTCCTATAGCAGCCTGATGAAAGCTGCATCCACCCACTACCTCGCTGGACAGGATAGTGCTCTGGCTGTTATCCTTGTTTGGTCTCAGTAACCAGGGAGAAAAGAAGTCCAGTTGCTACATTCACGCCGCAGTGCCCACTGCTCTCTGTCCATATGTCAGTCCGTCTGTTTGTTTGTCTGTCTGTATGCCCAGCTTAGATCAAGTCTTTGTGATCTGATGACAGAAAAAATATAAAATAATAAATCAAGCCTATGAATTCCACAAAGGTGTTGGAGCTGATTTGTAAAACCTCAGTGCATTTGTGTTCCCCAGCAGGCAGGAAGGCAGGCAGGCAGGCAGGCAGGCAGGCAGGCAGGCAGGCAGGCAGGCAGGGCTGGAGCTGCTTTACTGTATCCTCAGGCTGCGTTCCTCCTCTTGGGTCCACTGGAGCTAGTCATTCTCTGGACGGAAGCCCAGGAAAAGGCAGAGTGGGAGAGGGGAGGAGTGGGGAGCCTCGTGCCTGGCGTGCGGTCTCCCTGCACTGGGCAAGAAAGTGAAGCTCTCCTAACTCTGCTCACGCTCCAACGGTCAGGGAGGATCCAAACCTCACCTCAAACCTCAGTGAGTGCAGTTAAGATGGCTTCTACCACGGCTACTGATCTGGGCAGAGGCCACCTGCCTCTGCGTGGTGTGTCTGAGTAAAAGCCTGTGTGTGTGGTTGGTAATGAGGGGAGGGTGTATCAGCTTGAAAGGCTGAAAATTCTGGATCGTCTTGAGATCTCTCTCTCTCTCTCTCCCTCCCAGGCAGCTGGATTAAATGTGCTGTGTCTCCCAGGCAGGCTCAGTACGACTCTGCCCTTCTCTACTGTAAGAAATACTGCCTCTCATGTCTTTCTACAGACCACCCCTTGCTTCTCCTCTCCCCTTGCCATCCTCCTTCACCACCTTCTTTATGCTCCTACCTCCACTGCATTAACATAAACCCTGAGCCAAGGTTTTCAGCCTCTTAACTCAGGCACTTTTTTTCATTTTCAATTATTGCCCTCTTTGTGTTTGTTTCCATGTGGATAGTCATTATCACTGTTACCATGGATTTTCATGTACAAGGTTTCTTTCATGCCCTGCCCATTAAATCTCTCCTTCTGCTTATCTACAGTATCTACCTACCTCTCCCACTCCTCAGTTCTGTAAAACCTAGTTATTACTTTGTCCTTCCTTAATGTATCCTACCATGTCTGGCTTTTTTGTCTGTCCTACGGTATTCTGTCTAAATGATTTACTGTCTACATCTGTTTGTCTATGTGTACATTTTCTTGTGAGTACAGACATTCAGGTATTGTCAGTACTGTGTAAAACATGTACATGTCGAACTTATTGATATGCAGTCTTGTGTTGTGTCCGTGTAGTCTTTTATGTTGTCTCAAGGTCCACAGCTTTCTGAACCCAAACACACTCAAAAAAGAAAACGAAAAATGTACAAGATGTGAATCATTATTGAATTTTGCACATGTCCCTCAGGGAAGTCCCACAGGCGTCCAGTTACTGGAGCAGAGCGTTGTCTGTCTCCCGCAAAGCCCTTTGTAATACATCTGTTTCTCTCTGTCTCTCTCTCATGGCTCTGGTGACACCAACATGAAGTCATGCTTATCCCTAGCATGGAACGTTGCATCAGTCTGCAAAGAAAACATTTTTTATTGTTGTTTGTGACTCTGTGAATGATTCATTTTGTGATGAGATTTTTGAATTTGAAAAAAAAGACTACTTCCTAGTAATCTTCACTCATAATTTAGATCCACAATGATTAACAGCAAATATAAAACTGCACAAATATCACAAACTCATGCACAGAAAAAGCACAACATATATTTCCGAATAAATAGGGTGAATAGCTGAAGGGGGGAGAGAGCAGAAGAAGAAAAGAGAGATGAATGCACAGTGTGAATGCATATCAACAAATGGCAAGCCTTTAAATTAAGACACATACAGTAATACAGAATTGGAAATGATTCCATTAGGCTGTAGCAGCTGCACCCCCCCCCCCCCCCCCCCCCCCCCCCCCCCCCCCCCCCCC